TCTCTCAATTGTTATTTTTCTGCCATAATGGTGCATTTGTTGCATATAATCAGTTTTTGTTATCAAAGTTTTGCTTCATAGTTCTTCCTTATGATTTAAAAAAAACATGCATTTGCTGCAATACATGCCCACTTGCCTGGAGTGTATGTTGCGGTTTTAGATTCTTGATGTTTGTGGTTTTCATATATAAAATCTGATGACTTTCATCTAGTTTATAATAGTTGAAAAGAAGCATTGTTCTCAGCATCTTATGCACAAAATTGAGAATCTAGAGCTAATTCGAGAGGGAAAATGCCGAACACAATAATTTGGATTATGTGCCTAATATGTTAAGTTTTAGGTATATTTAGGGTCAAGACTATACAAAGGATTTTCTAGGCGTTGAGAGGCATGATTCACCATAATAATCCTCTTTTCTTCTTCACAGTTCAACCTGAAGTGGCGGGTGGACGTGACTCTCAAGTTAACGGTGAACCGTTATAAATCTGTGTATGCACATGTGTCTCTAAGTTCGTTTTACTCAATATTGCACTCTTAATTGAGACTAAGGCATAATTCTTAACAGCATAAAGTTAATCTATCCCTGAGAAACCTACCATGAAACAGCCACCTGGGAGGTGCAAGCAGTCTAAAGAATAGCTTTAAGGCAATCAGAATGACCATAATAAGCAGCATAGTGTAAGCATGTCCTTCATTTAGTGAATCGAAAATTAAAATCTGGCCCAATATTCACGATTAGCACAGTCAATAATGAACACCAACACAAATGTAAATGCATATAAATAAATACAGATTACTTGAAAATGGCTTATTAGAGAAGATATGGGATTGGGAGGAAAAAAAAAAATTCGCCCAGCTTCAATGAGTTTCTTCACACATGAGATCTTTCCATGCACTGCAGCCAACATCAATGGAGTCTCAATCAAACATTCACATATAAATGATAATATCAGATAATAAGTCTCAAAAATCAAGAAATTAAATCAAATATTTACAGTCATTTCGTAGAGATCAATATCAACACACCTGCTTGTGGCAATTCAATAAATCGGGATTGACGTATCGGTCCCAGAGCATAGAAAGAATCTGAAATCCCCAAAGCAGAACCAGAAATGAGAAAACATCAAAATTTCAAGAAATACCAAGAAGCCCACCTCCGTTTGACCATTAGCAGCAGCAATGTGCAAAGCAGAGTGGCGATCATACACTGTGGACTGATGAATAAAAGTTGGATCCCTTTCCAAAACATTCTCAAAATCTCCCAACTACACTACACTGAATAGTCCCTGCTCCTCACTTGTTCTATTTCTCGACCATAATCATCAACTTGCAGGAAGTTTTCTTTAGCCTCTTGTCTATTGAGAGAGATTTGAGGGACGAGATAGAAATTTAGGGTAAAAATTTTGGACAAGCCAAATGACTCCATGCACAGTGCGCTCTCCACACTATGCAGAGAGCACTCTCTACGCAGCACGGAGACAGTCTCCGTGTGGTGCACGGATTGTTTTCCTTCTGCCAAAGTGTTTTTATTTCCTTTTCATAATAATAATCAAGCCAAAGAGTTTTATCAAATTTACAAGCATTTTTCGCCTTTTTTGCCTTTCCTCATACGCTTTTAACTTAAGATTTTACAACAAGTTTAAGAACCGAATAATTTTTGAAATAAATTCCAATAGTATAGTCCTAAAAAAATTATTTCACAAGCTAGAATTCACCATGATCTCGTAGCTATCTTTGAACAAAATTAATACCATGGCTTCGCTCTTTTGTGCAAACCTAAAATGAAACACAATAATCAATTAAAAATTTAGGAAAAATGATGATTAATTCAAGAGAACAAAAAATTGAAAAGCAAAATTCATAGAAATTGAAATCAAATGGTTACATGAAAGTATAATAAACATATACGAGATTCTAATTTAAAATGTTTCTTGATGATATGTTACCATATAACTGCTCGTCTTCGATTTTATAAATAGTCTATGATGGAGTTTGGTCATGGGTATTGCAGTTTTGAACGGAATTGGATGAAGGTATGGCCGTGGGTGCAGATGAGCTTTTGGGTCAAGATTTGATCAGATTTTAGAGGTATGAGATTGTAGAGTGGGATGAATAGATGTTTGAGCTAATGGTCGAGTGACAATGGGAAATCGTGACACGTGACCATTCGCTTTTTTATACATGTAGGATAGGAAAATAGAAATTACTAGCTTATAAACTCTCATCCCCACAAAAAAAAGTACGCGTATGAATGCAGCAATTATTTACTCTTGACGAGGTCTTGCCATGAATTTTCAGTCAAACTGACAATATTACCGGTTGGATATTTAACATGGGTGCTAGAAAATTAATTAATAATTTGAAGATAAAGGCAGCAGAATGAAGCAACTTTCATTAAAGGAAAAGATCAAGCAAATTAAGAAATGACGGTCCATTATGTTTTTCTTCATTTCAGCTCTTGGTCCCATCCATTCACCATGAAGGCCATTTGGGCATAAAAATGAATGTCTGAACTGAGAGATCTGCAAAATTTTGAATACATTAAAGAATGACTTTATGAAACTTTAATAAAATTATATGATTTGACCTCCCATTAAGAATTTTTTAGCAAATAAACTTAGCAATGAAAAACTGCATAGACAATTGAAAATATTAGATTGCTTAGATGAACTTAACAGATGATAGCATCTACATCCACCAACTCTTGTGAATGCCAGCTTCCTTTAAAAAATTAAAATTATATAGCAACATGACAAACTTGGGTAGAAAATTGAGAGGTTATCATCAAAATATCTGGTAAATAAGAACTGGAATCGCTGCAAAGAAATCAAGGCATGCCTTCTATTTGTCTCTTTTGTTTCTAATTGATATAAGGTTATTCATGTATATATTTTTTCCAATAAGCGATACATCTAAAAAATCTATATTGCTAGATGTTTTCAAATCAAAAAGCCATAGGACACTAGATTTTGTACTAACTTGTGAGTGCACTCATCACGCACGCATTTATCTAAAGTGTGAAGAAACATATACAATAGAAAAACTTAATCATTCTTGTAGTATAATTATGACTACGGAAATTCATACCCAAAATTTATTACCTAACTGCAATCTTTTACAAAATCTACTCTGCGCAATGGCCATGGTTTAATGAAAATTATCATCCCCAAGTGTGCGTAGTTCATAACACAAGGATTCCGAATTACTTAATTTATAGTTTTATGTCATTGGAATGTTGAAAAGGAGAAACAATGAATATTGTTTGAATTAGAGCGTAATCGTATTTTCATTTATAATCTAATGCTGTTTTAACTTTTAAGTGGAAAAATAAATTACGATTGATTATTTAAATTAGTGTTAAATCATATTATTTCATTTATTCTTTTATGCCATTGAAATTCCAAAAAGGAAAATAAATAAATGTACGGTATTTGAATTAGTGTTGTATCATATCTTTTTAGATGTCATTTTACATCATTGGAATGTGGAGAAGGAGAAAATTAATGTGAAAAGCTTGAATTAGCGTTGCCGATGGGCAATGATGTACATTTCAAATAATGATGGTTTAGTGCTCGACATTGTAGATATATAAATAGGATTTGAATGTTAATGGTAATCATAGTTTATGAAATTATTCCAAAGGTTCTCTTTAAATTCAAATAACATGATTATCTCATTCTTACTGGCGTGCCATACACTTGCGAAGTGTTATAACACAACTAAGTGGGGTTTCATCATTTTACATTTGACCTTTCCAAGTTTTTTCTCATTGGGTATTTTTTACACTGCTAAGAACTATTGTTTATTGATTCACAACTCACAATTACTTATCGCATCCTGTGTGACACCCCAATATCGCACATAACTGAGAATTGTGAAGGTTGTCTGATGTTAACCATCTGGGAATTGTCATTCTCCAGTTCATTCTTGAGTGAAGGACAACACTACTCACCTGCGGTAGGATGTAGCCATCTATCATTAAACATAGATAGAAAGCACTCCATGGTTGAGTCTACCATTATTGTAATTCTATCTTTTACAGCCACCTGCTCATATTGTCCAATCTGATTGAGGTTATAAACATAGTGACACAATTTTGAAATGTTAAAAGCAATTAACATTATGTATACTTATGTTTGAGCTCGTGTTTCAGTAGATATATTATACCAACAGAAAATTTTTAAATCTACTAGACTTTTCAAAATGAAACTCTAACCTTATTACTTTTTATGCTAAGATTTCATTAACTTAGACACTCCCATAACGAGTAAGAAGAAAAAAAGAAAAGAAAAGAAAATACACATATACACAGGCACGCACGGACATCAATTATTTAGTCTTGGCGGGATCTTGCCTTGAATTTTCAGTTAAACCAACAACAGTATCGGTTGGATACTTAATGTGGGTACAAGAAAATTAATTAATTATTTGAAGATAAAGGCAGCAGAATGAAGCAACTTTCATTAAAGGAAAAGATCTAGCAAATTAAGAAATGAAGGTCCATTCTGTTTACCTTTATCTCAGCTCTTGGCCCCATCCATTCACCATTGTCTTTCTTTGATAAGAATCAATTCAAAATTTCCGCTCTTTGCTTCTTTTGTTTCGGGATCTTTACAACAGGCTTTATCTGCATCTCGTCTTCAACTCATTCCCTGACTCTGGAAGGACATTTTCAATGCTTGCTTGAGCAGTGGCTTCGGGGTGGACTAGAGAAGACAGGAATAAGGGACTATATGAAATCAAATGGGTTTACCTGGACCAATACATGAAAAGACCATTTGGGCCTCAAAATGAATGTCTGGACAATATTTCCTACTTTGGAAGAGGTAAACCGAGAGATCTGCAAAATTTGCAAAACATCGTAGCACAAATTCACGAAACTTAATTACATTGTATGATTTGATCTCCAATTAAGAATTGTTTGTAAATAAAGCTTAGCAATGAAAAACTGCTGAGACAATTAAAAATTAGTAGGTTGTTTAGAGGAACTTAGAACCAATGATAGCATCTACAAGAAAAAAATGATGAGTCGTTGCAAAGAATTCAAGGTATGTCTTCTATGTGTCCCTTTCATTTCTGATTGATATATATAAGACTAGTCATGTATATAGTTTTTCCAATAATAAAACATCTATATAATCTAAAATGTAAGATGTTTTCAAATCAAAAAGCCATAGGAAACTAGATTCTGTG